GGACCTTTTAGATTGAGATCGACATCTGGTACATCAACTTTTGGACCTTTTAGATTGAAGGATGGCATGTTCATAGAAGGCATTTTAAATCCTCCCTTTGGTCCTTCAATATCAACTTCTGGACCTTTAATGTCAACTTCAGGTGTTTTCATGTCTCCTTTTATCTTAGGAACAGAAACATCCATGTCCCCCTTGAGTTTTGGGCCTTTCAAGTTGAAATCAACATCTGGCATGGATATCTTTGGTCCAGATATGCTGGGCATGTTGAATTTGGGTCCTTTCAGTTTTACATCTGCTGCGTCTAAGTCAACATCTGGAGTTTTAATATCAATATCTGCCTTTGGGAGATCAATATCTACATCAGGGCCTTCTACTTTTGGGCCTTTCATTCCAAAGGATGGCATTTTGAACTTAGGCATTTTGATTCCCCCTTTGTGGCCCTCAATGTCAATATTTGGACCTTCAATATCCACATCTGGTCCTTTGATATCGCCTTTTATCTTTGGAAGTTTAATATCTACATCACCTTCGACTTTTGGACCTTTTAGATTAAGGTCAACATCTGGCACATCAACCGATGGACCTTTTAGATTGAAGGATGGCATGTTAATAGAAGGCATTTTAAATCCTCCCTTTGGCCCTTCAATATCAATTTCTGGACCTTTAATGTCAACTTCAGGGGTTTTTACGTCTCCTTTTATCTTAGGAACAGAAATGTCCATGTCACCCTTGAGTTTTGGGCCTTTCAAGTTGAAATCAACATCTGGCATGGAAATCTTTGGTCCAGATATGCTGGGCATGTTGAATTTGGGTCCTTTCATGTTTACATCTGCTCCTTCAATATCCACATCTGGTGTTTTCACATCGATATCTACCTTGGGGAGGTCAATATCAGGTCCTTCTATTTTGGGGCCTTTCACTGCGAATGATGGCATTTTAAATTTAGGCATTTTAAGTCCACCTTTGTGGCCCTCAATGTCAACACTTGGACCTTCAATGTCCACATCTGGTCCTTTTATATCTCCCTCAATGTTTGGCAGTTTTATATCCACATCGCCTTCAACTTTTGGGCCTTTAAGATTAAGGTCAACATCTGGAATATCAACCTTTGGACCTTTGAAATTTACTGATGGCATTTTAAACTTAGGCATTTCAAATCCCCCCTTTTGTCCTTCAATTTTAAGTTCTTGACCTTTAACGTCAACTTCTGGGGATTTTATGTCACCTTCAATTTTTGGAGATGAAATATTGGCATCTGCTTTGAGTTTTGGACCTTTCAAGTTGACATCCATATCTGGTAAAGATACCTTTGGACTTGTAATTTTTGGCATTTTGAATTTTTTTCCTTTTACTTTAGCATTTGATCCCTCAATGGCAATGTCTTTGCCCTTAAGTTCAATATCACCAGGTTTGACATCAATACTTGGTTTAGGGAGGTTTATATCAACATCAGGGCTTTCAGCTTTTGATCCTCTGAATCCAAATGATGGCATCTTAAACTTAGGCATTTTGAACCCACCTTTGTGGCCCTCAATTTCAAGATTGGGACCATCAATATCAACTTCAGGGCCTTTAATATCTCCTTTAATCTTTGGCAATTCAGCATCTCCACCTCCTTCAAGTTTTGAGCCTTTCAGGTTAACATCGATGTCTGGAACATCAACTTTTGGACCTTTGAAATTAACTGAGGGCATTTTGATTTTGGGCATCTCAAAACCTCCCTTTGGCCCTTCAATATCAACCTCTGGACCTTTCATATTTCCTTTAATCTTTGGCAGTTTAATATCCACATCACCTTCAACTTTTGGACCTTTTAGATTAAGGTCAACGTCTGGCACATCAACTTTTGGACCTTTTAGATTAAGGTCGACATCTGGGAGATCAACCTTCGGACCTTTAAGATTGAAGGATGGCATGTTCATAGAAGGCATTTTAAATCCTCCCTTTGGCCCTTCAATATCAACTTCTGGACCTTTAATGTCAACTTCAGGTGTTTTTATGTCTCCTTTTATCTTAGGAACAGAAACATCCATGTCCCCCTTGAGTTTTGGGCCTTTCAAGTTGAAATCAACATCTGGCATGGATATCTTTGGTCCAGATATGCTGGGCATGTTGAATTTGGGTCCTTTCAGTTTTAAATCTGCTCCACTGACATCAACATCTGGTGCTTTCACATCAATATCTGCCTTGGGAAGGTCAAGATCAACATCAACATCTGGACCTTCTACTTT